CCTGATTTTGGTGTTTTCTCACGATCCATTGTTGTGTACACAGTTCTTCGTGTTACATTAAAATGTCTCGCAACAGTGGATACTGAGGCCCCCCCGCGGATCATTCCAACAAGCTGATTTCGCACATTTTCGCGTACGGTGTGACACCATGAAACGTAGACAAGACAAGTTTTATCACTGGCGAATTGTTACAAAAATGGCAAAGCTTTGATGTGTTCTTCTTTTTTAAACAAATCATTGCCGTATCATGATTAATTTTCAAAAAACACGAAACATGTAACACGCATGCAGTTACAAAACCACTCATGCGTTCAGAAATCTGAAAGCAGATCACCATTGACAGGTATATCACGTAATCAGTGTGTAAATTTGAAAGTAATTGGTTGCATAGATTTTGTTTTATTGAGCTTCAAAAGGTGTATACTTAAAATTGTGACATATATATGTAATGTAATATTCGCATAATTCTAGAAATCTGAACTTTTGGATTTATAGGGAAAATCAATTCCTCTGCTGATAATAAATTTTGCGGAAGAAGTATTTTAAAAATTACCTTTCGAGTATAATCTGTCATTGAAAAACTTTATTTCAAAGATGCGTACAGTGCTGCTTATTACTACAGCTGCGCCATAAGCAGATTATAATTTCACATTGCAACAGGACTTTTCAAAATTTTATTTTTGGAATGCATCACGGACAATGCATTAATAGGTAATGAATCCACCATCAGAATAAATGGAAGACTAATATATTATCAATAATCTAAGGTTTACAGACTGAATTCGCCTGTCACCTTCAAAATCAAATGCGTTTGTTTTTCAAGGTTACAGTAAAAAATCGATTGTATTGTGCAAAAATGGTAGCTTCTGCCCCATCCATGAAGATAAAATCAGGCTCGCCCTGACTCAGTCCGATAAAACCAACTGATAGTGTGCTCTGGGTGTAAATGAGCAGACATCAAAGTTGTATTACATTAATTCAGACAGGAATATATGTTCATTATATTTCGTTTAGTGTCTGGATCAGAGCCAAGCAAATGCTCATAAATAAATGTGTATCAGAGAGTTGTCAGTGCCTGCATGACATTATGTACACTGTACACACTGATCTGATCTGCTACACATATATATATATCAGGGTGACCTGAGGAGTGTGTGTATGTGTGAGGTGGGGGGGCGGAGAGGGCTCGGGGTATTAGAGGTGGGAATAAAGATGATGCTTCATACAAAGGCCCATATTATATATTATGTGGGAGTGGGATGGACTGTCAGTATTGAACGGTATTGGGAGAGAGATTGAGACAGATATATAATGACGGATAAAGGGGCATAAATACGAGGGCTGTCCCACGGAAAACTGGAAAAGGTCCATAAAAGCAACAATCTTTGTCCTATTATAAATAAAAATGTAACACATCATACCTCAACATGTGCTTTATTTCTCTATGTAATCACCATCCCGCTGGACGCATTTTTCCCATTGCTGGATCAGGGAGAAAATACCCTCCCTGAAGAATTTTTCGTCAAGGGATTTTAACCAACCTTTCACAGCTTCCACAAGGTCTTCGTCGTTGGTCAATCGCTGTCCAGAAAAATGGCGTTTCATTGGTCCAAAAAGGTGATAATCTGATGGGGCCAAGTCAGGACTGTGAGGGGGGTGTGGCAGAACTTCCAAGCCGAACCTTTGGATCCAGTCTTTCGTAGCGTTTGCGGTGCATGGCGTTGCGTTGTCATGCTGCAAAATGACCCCGCTGGACAACTGGCCGGGTCTTTTTCGGCGCACAACCTCTCTCAACTTATCAAGAGTCTGGCAGTATCTGTTAGCATTAACAGTTTGTACTGGTTCCAGAATGTCAAGAAGCAGAACACCCTTAGCATCCCAGAAAACAGGGACCATGAGTTTCTACACCAATGGCTGAACTTTAAACTTTTTAGGGGGAGGTGAAGATGTGCGCTTCCAAACCATTGAATCCCTCTTCATCTCAGGGGTCATGTGGTGTTCTCATCCCCTGAAATAATACTTCTCAGGAATGCTTCATCGTATTGTTTGAGGTCTCCAGATGCATTCATGACTCTAGTGACAGCTTGGCGACAATGATTCAACAAAGTATGAGACACTTCAGCACGTTGCGTCTTGTGGTCAGCTGTGTAAGCTCTTTTGGGACCCATCGAGCAGAGACCTTTTGATAGTGCAGCGCATCAAACACTATCCTATGGACAGTTGACTTTGAAATGTTTAGCGACTCTGAAATTTCGCGAATTTTAAGGCGCCTGTCTGTTTGAATGAGTTCGTTAACGCAACTCTTGTTGTCCTCAGTCTATGCAGAAAAACATGGTCCTGGGCGCCCTGGGTGAACTTTGTAATTGACATCCATGCCCGGCTTAAAACTTACAACACCACTCATATGTACCTGTGACTTTGCCATTACTTTCTCCCCGTAAACTGACTATATTTCAGCGTGTATTTCTATAGGTTTGAGACCTTTTACGGTCAGAAACCGAAGAACAGACTTCACTTCTACCCTTGACCAATTATCCAAGGGGGTAGCGCCATCTTTGGAGAACCGCTGCGTTCGTTTGGTTTGTGCGATGCTCATGTGGTGCTCAATCGGGAAATTCCTCAATGATTGTATTAAAAGTGCGCGTTTCGTTTACAGAATGTGAAAATATTGAAGTTTTCAAATTACAGCCAAATTCCGGTTTTCCGTGGGACAGACCCCGTAACTGCAAATGTGAGGCATCGTGATGAATTCAGGTGCTCATCAAAATTAATGAAATAAAAGTAACCGGCATTTGGCCCCCCAAAGATCAGTGGCAAAATTTTTTAACTGCATAAAAAAGGCTGAACTCGAAGCCCAATTCGCTGGTGGTATATAACGAGGCAAATATTATAAATAGTCTAATAGGAACTCTATATATAATATAATTATGATTATCTAGGCCTAAAAATTCGGTGGAAGGCAGTGCAAAGACGCAAATATAATGGTGTTCCTTTTCGTAATCCAAACCTGGCGGTACGCGGAGCTTAACAAAGGGGGATTGGCTGGGGAGGGGGAGCAATTATGAGATTCGACTGTAATTAATTATAAGATTGATTTATTTATGTCACGCACGGGATCCCTCTATGCACATGGCTATGTGCAGTATTTCATTATTAAATGTTATATTTATGTTTTATTATAATACATGTAATTACAGAGTTGATTTAGTAGTAGGCCTAGAGTCTAGTCTATTATTGAATAAAGGATTTTAATAATTTTAACTGAAGTCTGTATGCCAAGGCCTAGAATATTTAGACAGTTTCTCTTAAATTTTACCGAGTCCAAACCCAGTTGAGACAAATTAAGTTTACCACTACTAGCCTACAGATCTACTGCTAGTACATGTACATCTAGATCTAGATCTAGTCTTGTTACTAAGTAACTTTACTTATTACTACTAATCTATATCTACTAGATTTCTACTACAGACTGCTGAAGTAAACATAAAATGATAAAGTTTTTAAACTCACCTAAATACAGGAGTTCGTACGTAATTGCTTTTCCTATTCCTGTGCCACCACCAGTTACAATTGCAGCTTTTCCAGCAAAAAGATCAGGGCGAAAGACACTTGTCACTTTCATAGTTAAATTTAATGCAAATGTCTAAAACTAGAGGTCATCTAATGTTCCCTGTTGACTGGCCTCGGACCGTTGTCTTATTTCAACAACAATCCAAAAACCAAAATGCGAAATGAGAGGAGGACCGAAAGTACACTGTACACAACAAGTACACCGCTAAGGTTCAAAGTTCATAGTTCACGGACTATTGGCACGGTTGACTTTTGCCCTTGGGTATCGTTCATGGTCGTTTTCGCTGTGTTTAGTGTTTTATGTTATTATTTTGTCTTTATAATACCACTCACTATTACTATTAGATTATTAGTTTTTCCTCCTTGTATTTTGTTTGGCTTTGGATCAACAACATATCAGTACAGTTCTGATTATTTTAAATTATTCACACAAGGCCAATAAAATTGAAAAAGGAAATGACTCAGTGTGCCTACCTTTTCTGCAGCTATTGTCATGGTAGTTTGGGTTGGGGTTTTTTTTCTCAGTTTATTGGTCTTAGCTTGAAGGATGAAAAGCCCACTTTTTGCAATTTAAAAAATCCAGTCTCTTTTATCTTGGCTTTGAGAACCCCTTCGGGAGCTCTTGTGGTCAAGAGGTTAGTGCATGTTCGCCTTTCGTTCGATAGGTTTCGGGTTCAAAGCGAGATAGCAACGGAAAATTTTCTTCTCTAAAACTAAAACTTGTCTCCTTTCACCTCCTTTCCTGCTCCCTAACAATGTTCTGTCCTCTGCTTTTGTCTCCACTTTCTGCCCCCACCACCTCAAATCCTTTGTCCCTTCCTCTGGGATCCTGACTCTTTCTGCAGTCTTTCTACTGCAACTCCTTACCGTTGTCTTTCAGCTATACCCCTGGTCTTATGGTAGGTAAGATCTAACACATAGCCTTCTCAGATAAGCGAGAAAAATCTTAAGGGTCCTGTGTGCAAGTTGCACACGTTAAAGATCCCTTGATGGTTCAAAATCGATAAGGGTAGGCTTCGCCGCCACCCAGGCAAAATTCAAAATTTCCTACCAAACTAAAAATGTTTTTATGTCTGCGTGCACGTGACCTTTTGCAGTTGCAAGCACAGTAAAAAAACAAAAAAAAACTCCTTTTGGTTATTGTTTTACTACAAACTCAATGTTTGTTAGAATAAAGAAAAACATTGACACTGACACAATAGTCAGCAAGCTCAGAGACAGAAACAAAAAAGACAGACATTCAGATAAAACAAAGGAAGAGAACAAGTCAAAAATATTTGAAAGTGAAAGGAAAGAAGCACAAGAGTACCTTCCAACCACCCTCCAAATTGCTAAAAGATAAAGACAACAGACAAGCAGTTATATAGCGGAGTCTAGTCAACACAATGACCACCACATTCTGACAGAAACAATAAATCACCAAGACAGTGACAGAAACAGTCAACGCAAGAACACTCACCAACCACTCATTGACAGAATCCCAATCAATTCTTTCAAAGATTATGATTTCTGAAAGAAATCCTTCAATTAATTAAAGAAAAACAAAACAACTTCAAGACAAATATTCAAAATATATTCTTTATTGAATCCTAAGTATAAACCCAATACTTTTGTTGCTCCCATGTGACCAAAGTACTAAACTAAGTTATCAGCCTCGATGGAACATCTTTGTTAATTGGATTAGTTCAACCCACCTTATAGATACAGACAGGTCAGTGCTAACCTCGCCACCTTGTAAATACATAGACAACAGTGGCTTACATATCCAGCTAATTTCTGTCACCTTGTATATACACAGCCAACATTGTTGCCTACATATCAAGGTAACCTCTGTCACCTTATAAATACTTAGACTTAGACAACATAGGGTGACCTGCATATCTAGCTACCTTCTGTCAACTTGTACATACACAGACAAAATAGTGGCTTACATTCTATACTGCCACTTGAAAGTAAAACCTAGTACATATATATACGAATCAGGGTGAAATCAACTATGCTAAATATTCCATAGATGTGATCGTGCAAGTGCGCACATCTTTTTATCTTCAGGCTGCTATCCATATATCTCAATATTCATAGAAATACGAAAAACAAAAATGAAAAAGAACAATTTGAAAAAAAAATTGTAGCTTATAACTGCTTCTACAATTTACAACCGCCCCCACATCCCCATCATGAACTTGTTAGCAAACGCCGAGCTGGGATTGTCTGTCGATGTCCAAGGCAAACGATTTCATTTTTACAGCATGGTGACAGTGACACGGTCAGTCCGTTCTTTGCTTTCACTCATTTCAGGTATTCACTTTATCCGATTTCCCCAAGAAACCGCTTTATTTTATCCACTATTTTTTTTACTTAAATAGTATTTCAATCGGGACCACAGAATATCTTTCACTTTAACAGATTGTTCAAATAAAACGGACTCCATTGTATTGCTAAATGTATATTGACACATCTCTAGCTAAGTAATAACTGAAAAGTAGAAAAAAAATAGTTTAAATTGGAAGCAATTTCTTTTATTTAATACAGTACAAAATGCAAACAACTGCAGCCATTTTTTTTACCCAACTCAAAACCTTAATCTCCAAATTTTATCAAACGTGACACAGATTGCTGTGTCTAAATTTTTCCAAAAAATTTTTAGCAGTTTCAAAAAAAAAATACGACATCTCCATTCAGTTTCATTACCAAACTCAAAACAAGAAGTGGATTCTACCAAAGCAAGTTCAAGAGAAGATAAAGCATTAAAGCAGAGCATGGCAGAATTGCTCACACTTAAAAGTTCACATCAGCATAAAAAGCTGGAAGAAAAAAACCCAACCTCCTCACCATACAGAGTGAAAATGGTCTTCCAATATCATACATGCATTTATTTCTCCCTGTACTAAAACATTCAAGTCAAACTGTGTGAACACAATCATTAATACCGATATACTGCAACTACTACACACTGTGAACCAAAATCTGTTAAGAACCATCAGTATCAACAAAATCATTCTCAATAGGTACTGTGCATGCACTCAAATGGCCTCAGGCCATTACACATTTAGTCTCTAGAACTCTTTCCATTCATGCATGGCAACCTTTGAGTTCTGCAAAAGTGTTGTGCCCCTTTCCACAGGGTCATGTTATTTAACCCCTCACATTTAATGCTCGTCCCACAGGAGCCGGCCAAAAAGGTGGAGGAGACCCTACAGCCCTCCAAAACAACCAAACACAAGAATGCACTGTAGAGTATTCGAACCAGGGCAGGCTGCACCGCAGTCAAGCATGATATCAACTGGGCAAACCGACACTCAGCATACGTGCTTCACATCGTAAGTCGAAAAAGAGCTCCCCAATCACAGGCTGTCAATATGTACATCGTGGTTCATTATTAAATGTATATATACTTTGTATACTCAGACATGAAAAGGTCCATTATAAGTAGCTAACAAATAATTATCTTGGTTTTTGTGATGATTCAAATTGCCATCCTCATATTGAACAGGGTGTAACTCTACAACTGTGAAAACAGGTACAGCAATATTGCATAAGCAAGCTTCATTAGTGGGTACATCATGAGCTTTCTACTTCCAAACACAATGGTACATGATCGCAGCAGGATTACTAGCACTAGCACTATCCTATTAAAACTACAATAGAGCGGCCAAGAAAGTGGCAACAAAACTATCTTCAGCTAGCAGTTTTAGTCTACACAAGCAAGAACACGGTATTTGCCTTTAAAACAGGTAAGGGCAAACTGTAGTCCGCTGGCCACATCAGGCCCCCGAGCATTTTTAGTCTGGTCTGAGTGTCAACTCTGTAATAACTAAAGTGGCCCTGGTGACTTGACAATTAGTCAAAACAAAACTGTCAGTCTTGAAAATTGAAATTACTAGTTTCCAGTTCAGCTGGAAGCAATAGATCAAATAGTAATACAATTTCTCAAGAAATGCCCTTGAAAGACACATGTGAAATTCAGTCTTACTTTTGAAAGCTTGGTATTTCAACCAATTTTATCCAATTTTCTCCAGTTTTGGTCTGCGAGATATTCAAAATCACTAATCCGGCTTGCGATTTTGATACACTTGCCCATTCCTGCACTAAATTTAAAGGAAGCTGTGACAACTTGTGTTGGTTGAATGGCGTCTACATATCAGCGATAGACAAAAAAGCAAGATATATTACAGAGATACCGATGGCCTCGATCACAAACCCTTTCAACTCCAAATTTCCCTCAGATGCTTTGAAGCTTTATTCAGCAAGGAAATGCCAATTTATTATTCATCTTTTAACATTCTACTCCTAAGAACAATATAAATGTGCCAAACAATAATGTAATTAAAGCATCAATGCCCACCATCAGTTTCAAACAAACCACAGTCAGTTGTTTTCCTCGTCTTGTAAAAAAAGTCTTCAGCCTAAAACCATTGAAAAATTAATATACAACAAGACTGAGCAAATTGTTGGATGTTTCATCTTCCTACAACTGAAACGTTCACACAGCTGTCAATACAAATTGTTAGAGTACATTACAAAATGCTCATAAATGAAAGACTTATTCACAAAATAATCTAAAAAGAAATTTTGTTCAGCTTACATGATCAGGGAACTATTTTGGCACGACTCTTTGGAAACTAAACCAAATCTACACCTTTTGAAGAATGTCAAAATCTGTCTGTCCAGTCATACAAAAAATGTTTCGGTTTTATAAAAAATCAGCCATGACCAGTTGGGTACTGACAATTTTGAAATGGATATGCCTCAGTGTGGCATTAGAGAATTAAATACAAAGTTCTGTCAATGAGTACAGCCTTCACGACATACTTATGGTAGGTACCCACCTACTGTCACAACTCTATAATACCCCAATATTTCATCTGTACATCAGTGCAACAACTATAACTCAGTACTACAACTTAGTTCCATGTTAAAACAAACAAAGTATTACAACTATAACTCAAAATTACAGAACTCAATGTAACAACTACAACTCATTGTTACATCCACAAATTAAAGTAACAAATATCATGTCACAACTAAAACTCAAACTCAAGCGTTACATTATCAACTCAGCATAACAACAAGAACTCAATGTAATAAAAAATTAAAAAACTGTACCACGACTTTTTTCAGTGAGACAACTACAGATCAGTATTACAACTGCCACTTAGCATTATAATATAATAGCGTTACAATGACTTGAACTCAAAACTTTGTATAACAACAAAAAGTCAGTA